TAAAGGAATATTTCATATATCAGTCTACTCTTCATTTTATCAGAAACAGTTTTCACAGCTCGTAAATTTTCCTTTTACACATACGTGTAAGCATTGAGCCAAATCTTTACTGAAGCTCAGTATTTGACACAGAGTTCAAGCTTACTGCTGTAATAAATCATAATAATAATAATAATAATAATAATAATAATAATAATAATAATAATAATACATATAATATTGGCCATATTATATTTACATTACCAAAGTAAGATGACTAGTCTCATGAACAGTATTAGCTAATTGTTATTTACTAATTAATCTTAAAATGACTCTTCAGTAAAAAAATGAAGCCCAACAATCATGTTTTTACAGTCCCGTGGTCTCAGCCTCAGATACTCAACAAATAAAAGTGATCTCATAAAAAAACAACAAAAAAAAAAAAACATTTCTGACAGAAATGTTCCTTCAATGCATTCACATTCTTCCAAATTCAATCTGCTGTACCTTGTCAAGCATGTACATTTTTAATTTAGGCAATCTGTATTTCTGTCTCAAGGCTGTATTTCACTGAGCCTCCATTAGGGGTCAGCGGTCAGCTAAGCACCGGTACTCCCTCCGGGTTCGGATCGCTCTTTTCGTGCGTCGTTGACTCCACTGACAGCTCCTCCGGAAGTCCCTAAGAGCTCCTGTCGCTTTATCTGTGAACAAAAGGTTTTTCTGGCTTTGTTTTTTCTTCTGTCAGTAAGAAAAAAAAGTAGCCCTAGCCGGTGTCAGATGACAGGAGGAATGGAGGAATTTCATAACGGAAGCGAGGTTAGTCCTGATACGAATTCACCGTTTTCACCAGTGACAGCAGAAATGAGCTAGCTAGCCACTCCCAGTGATAGCGGCGATTTTTTTTAATGCAAACGTCCTAAAATCAATAAATATAATTTATAATATTCAAAATAATCTGCTGTTGCTTTTACTGCTTAATGTGTTGTTATAAATAAACGTTTACGTGCTCCAATAAGGTTAAATCTGTTGCTAAAAAGTGTTGCTAAAGTGATCCTATGGGTCACTTTAGCATTTTTCCATAAACGTATGTTTATTTAACTAAAGTCCTGTCATGTTATCTTTATTATGACCTGATGATCTGCTTTCTGTATTTTAGGGCTCATTCAATGCAGAAGAAGCTGACACCATAGTCAAAGAAGTAAGGTTTACTTTTATATGCAGCGTTATAAATCCCTTTAATGTCTTAACCCATTTTGCGCCACAGTGTCGTCATGTTTTTCAGGTCTTTATTAAACAAACACTGATTTTGTTCTTTGGGGAGTAAAACAAAAGCACATTTAACATTTTTTCCAAGTATTAAGTCATAAAAATAGAAGTTTCAACAGCAGGTTTTTATGGAGAGATGCTTCGATTGTGTAGTAAACGGTTTAGTTTGATTGATTAAAGATTAATAATTAAATCTAGCCATGTAAACAGCTCAAATACACTCCTATTTTTAAATGTAACTTTTACGCGTCATTCATTTTTGCACATAATTTAAAGCTTTTTGATTTGTGTTTCATTGCTAAGCTTGCGTAGTTTTTCTGTGCTCCTGGGAAAATTCAAGATAATAAAAAAGTATCTTTAAAACCTCTGAAAAACCTTCAGAAACAAGCTGCACTCACTGCCTCTTTGTCTCAGTCTCCTCGGGCGCCAGCAACACCGGCTGACTAACACATGACTCTGAGCGCTGTGATGCCGTTTCTCTGTGTTTGTGTCAGTGCATTGAGAACGTCGTGGGCGGCGGAGACTACAGCCAGAGTCAGGTGAACAAGTGGACGGCGAACATCGTGGAGCGCTGCCTCACGCAGCTCGTCAAACAGGGCAAGCCGTACAAGTACATCGGTGTGTATTTGTTACTGTTAGAGTTAACCTTTTCATGCTCTTATGTTTGCCCTCCTATGAATTGTCACTCAAAAACAAGAAAGTCCCAGGGGGCCCAGCCAATCTTAAATCTTCACTCTCATCAATCTCTAATCTCTTCTAAAAATAGAGGAGGGTAATGGATTCACTTGAAGATTTAACTCAAAAAACATAAAAATCTCAGACTGTTGGCTTTAAACTGTTAAAGTGTTGAGGCCAATGTGTGATTCAGCTGCCACTCAGATACAAACTTCATTGCTATATAT